GAGTAGGTACTTGTAGATAACATCAAATAAAATATAACAAGTGTCAAGCATGAATTAAGGATTCTATACTTTATTTTTTTCCCAAGATAGATTTTGGCATTGTCAACTTTGAAACATAAACAATGCCGCTATTGCCGCTTATTGGTGGCTATTGTAAACCTGATGTCAACCTGCAGAAACACCTCATTTTGCAATCAATCAGGGTCAAGCGTTATTGTTTATGTTTCAAAGTTTTCAATGTCAAAATCTATCTTGGGAAAAAATAAAGTGTACAATTATTAATATCCACTTATACTTTAATATACTATTATGTAGAAAAGGCTTGTGTTGCCAACATAGTTACTAACAAAAAAAAAAACTTTATGTAGGTGTGTTTAGAGATAAATATCAAAAATTCGATGAATAAATAATAAATATAACAATAAATTCATGAATAGATAAATAATTATTTATATTCCAATTACCATATAAACTCTTAATTGATAAAACAAATACATGGTAACCATGTATTGGGGATCTGCGCTGCGTAAACGACCCAAATCTTCGAATCCTTTAATAAATTCTAGCTTTTTATTATACTCGCTATGGTCTTTTATTGTCATTTCATCAAGAGCCCTTATGTACTTCCATCAATGCCCGTTTTAAATATATTTTTTCCAATCCAGGTTCTTTACTCTCAAATGCTGGTGTTGGTTATTGACAGGTATGGAACAGCAGCGTCTTGAGATTAGATGAGAACATTTTTTCATCTCTATAGTCTGATAGTCTGATCCTTAAAAATGCTTTTCACATAAATAATTCTGCTTGATTTCATCTTCGGGTAAATCCGCTAGAGTCGCTAGAGATGCGTGGCCTGAAATACATATAAAAAAAACAAGCTATTAGGGGTATGACTATAAAAAAATTAAAAATTTAAGAGGATGAGGAGCAGTTTTTTTTCTAGATTTCACGTGCGTTATGCAAAGTTGTGTTTTTCGTAGACCTATTAAATTTTTTTTTAGTGGTTTTTGTTACCTCGTTGTTTTTAGACGAATAACCTATACAGGGTGTCTCACCGGGAACCAAATCGATCTATATATGAAAAACTGTATGCAGAAATTTTTTGAAAATTTGACAGTATACAGGGTTAGTAAAAAGTACTGCAACACTTAAATATCTTCAAAACTGCTTAAGCCGCGTTCACACAATTCGGAATTTGACAGTTTTTAGGCATGCGGAATTCAACAGTGCAATTGACAATGTTGCCAGATTTCCCAGTTTTGCGCTACACGTAGTCTTTTTGTTTTCTTAAATAGAATGCTACATTTATTTTTATTGCAATGAATTGGGCGTGCCAAATTTGATAAGACTACAAATTTTCAGAATTCTATCTCTACTAGTTGTTGAAATATGACACCGTATTTTCGGTGAAAAGTATCGCAGTGCTTGAATATCTTCAAACGCCGGTTGAGCACGTTCACGAAATCTGGTATCTGAGGGTTTTTGGACAAGCGAAATTCAACCGTGATATCGGCATTGTTGCCAGACTTCCCAGTTTTGCGCTAAACGTAGTCTTTTTGTTATCTTGAATAGAATGCCCCATTTATTTTTATTGCAATAAATTGGACTTGTCAAATTTGATAAGATTCCAAATTTTCAGAATTTTATCTCTACTAGTTGCTGAAATATGCCAACACCGCATTTTCCGGGAACGGTATCGCAATCATTAAATATCTTTAAAACTCGCTTGAACTCGTCCACTAAATTCGGTATCTGGGGATTTATGGGCAAGGGAAATTCAGCTGTGATATCGGCATTGCTGCCAAATTTCCCAGTTTCGCGCTACACGTAGTCTTGCTCGTGGCTTATAGTTTCTTTTTTTTTTTAAATACGCGTTACTTGTTCATGAGGTATTCATATTTCCGGGCCTTTTCGATAAGTTTGCGGCTCCTCTCGAAATAGGTAGGAAGGTAGGTAACTATCCCAGAATGATTCTCACTATAGTAGTATCTAACAGTACAAGAAGCATATTGAAAATTTGGAATCTCATTAAAATTTGGACCAATTCATTGCAATAAAAATAAATGGAACATTTTATTTAAGCTAACAAAAAGACTACGTGTAGCGCGAAACTGGGAAACTTGGCAACAATGCCGATATCAACTGTATTTCGCTTGCCCATAAATTCCCAGATACCGAATTTAGTGGACGAGCTTAAGCGGGTTTTAAAGATATTCAAGCGGTGCGATACCGTTCACTGAAAATGCGGTGTTGGCATATTTCAGCAACTAGTAGAGATAGAATTCTGAAAATTTGGAATATTATTAAATTTGGCACTTCCAATTTATTGCAATAAAAATAAATGGGGTATTCTATTCAAGATAACAGAATGACTACGTTTAGCGCAAAACTGGGAAGTCTGGCAACAATGCCGATATCACGGTTGAATTTCGCTTGCCCAAAAACCCCCAGATACCAAATTTTGTGAACATGCTTAAGCGGCGTTTGAAGATATTCAAGCGTTGCTAGACTTTTCACCGAAAATACGGTGTTGTCATATTTCAGCAACTAGTAGCGATAGAATTCTGAAAGTTTGGATTCTTATCAAATTTGACACGCCCAATTCATTGCAATAAAAATAAATGTGCCATTCTATTTAAGACAACAAAAAGACTACGTGTAGCGCAAAACTGGGACATCTGGCAACATTGCATATAGCACTGTTGAATTCCGCATGTCCAAAAACTGTCAGATTCCGAATTGTGTGAACGTGGCTTAAGCAGTTTTCAAGATATTTGAGTGTTGCAGTACTTTTTACTAACCCTGTATACAGGGTCCCAACTTTTTCAAAGGGGCGTTTAAATTAGAAAAAAGTTGCCATTTTTGAAGAATATTAAAAATATATTTTCGTTGTTGCCAAATTTCTATTAGTTTCGCAAATACAGGGTGATTTTTGAAAATTACCAAATCAATTTTATCAAATATTCTAAAATCTATTGATTTTGGAGACATGGTTCAAATCCAAAAGTATTTTTTTTTTTAATATTCTTCAAAAATGGCAATTTTTTTCTAATTTAAACGCCCTCGTAGCTTTAACCGTTCCCGAGATAGCAATGCTGTCCCTATGAAATAGTTGGTACCCTGTATACTATGTCAATAGGGGCAACCCGGCTAAAATATTTTCAAGATGGTGGAACTACCGGTTATACCAGAAGTAAACGTCAACTTGCTTATTTTAAATGAGACATCCTGTATGTGATTGCATATTTAGATTCTACGTAAAATTCTGACCAGATTTCATGTTATACAGTGAGCGCGTAACAGGGTGTTTCAAATTTTGAGCCTTATCATTGGAACCTCGGAAACGGTGAGAGAAACAGGGTTGGTTAAATTGGGGCAAAGTTGCATAATTTGATGCTTAATAAAATGTCCGCTATGATATTTGGGATATTCCGAATACTTCCGGAGATATCCGGAAAAAAAAGAGGAAAAACCGAAATTTTGCAAAATTGTTTTTATTTTTTCCTGACTTCATTTGAAGTGATATTTCAAAAAAAAGTATTCATCGTAGCCACTTTTTCTCCCCTACAAAATGCTACCATCAAATTTAAAATCTGACGTTTCGTCCGAGGTTGCGTCTTATTTGGGCCACCATCATCAACTTTATTTTTTACGTCATTGGTTTTGGAAGTTTGAGACATCAGAAGCTTATAAAAGCTAATATAAAAATTGAGGGTCCGTATTTAAAAAAATGAAGTTGATGATAGTGGCCCAAAGATGAAACGTCAGATTTTAAATTTGAAGCTAGCATCTTGTAGGGGAGAAAAACTGGCTATCATGGAGTGATTTTTTTTTTAAATATCACTTTAAATGAAGTCAAGAAAAAATAAAAATAATTTTGCAAAATTTCGGGTTTCTCCGAAAGTATTCGGAATATCCTAGATATCAAAGCGACATTTTGTAAAACATCAATATTTCGCAACTTTGCCCCAATTCAATCAACCCTATATCTCTCACCGTTTCCGAGATCCCAATGATGTGGCTCGAATTCGAAACACCCTATACTTTGGTATATTTTGAACTCAATTCATTAATTATTATTATTACTAAGAAGTTTGTTTTTTTTACAGTTTTGGGGTGGAATTTCCCCCCCTTCAACCCCGAGATAAACGTGTGTTTTTTTGATGTATCACTCGTATCTGCTCCAAGAATATTTCCACTAACTTTCACACTGCTACAAAATTTTTCAAAGAATTTTGTTTTTTTTCTTTAGACTGTTTTGTTTTCAGAATTTCAAATTAAATTTCTCCTCTCCAATAAACATGTGTTTTTTTGATATGTTACTCGTACCTGCTCCAAAAATATTTTCACCAACTTTGAATCTGCTAGAAAATTTTTCAAAGAAGTTACTCGACTCACTCATATCTGCTCCGAGAATATTTCCACTAACTTTGGAACTGCTACAAAATTTTTCAAAAAAGTTTGGCTTCTCTGTAATCTTGGGCTTGTTTTTCCCGAAGCTTTTCCCCCTTCAACCCCGAGATAAACATGTGCTTTTTTGGTATGTCACTCCTGTCTGCTCCAAGAATATTTCCACTATCCACTAACTTTGAAACTGCTACAATACTTTCGATATATGATTTTATTTACATTTTTGGGGCGGAATCTATCTCATTCAACCCCACCCTGGCCCCTGGACAAGTGATTTTTCAGTATGTGACGTACACATCACCCCCGATAATATTTCTACCAAGTTCGATGATGTTACAGAATCTTGAATAACTTTTTTAATTTAATTTATTTACTATTAGCAGGTATACCTACCTACTATTATTTGGTCAACTGTAGAAGTAGAAACATGATTTTCAGTTCTGAATCTGTTGTTAATTTCAAATTTTTTTGAGAATTTTTAGTAAGCCCAATCCCAAAACTTAACTACTATCTATTTGGACTATTTGCCAATTTGCCTTTTCATCAAAATTACTACCTATTACTTATTTAATTACCTACTATTGTTGTAGTGTCTGGTCGCTGAACTAAACATGTCCGAGCTGAAAGCCGCTGAATACAAAACGGACGTGGAAAAGCTGGCAGAAGAATTACGAGAAATAAAAGAAAAATATTTCCAAGAAAAGAAAACGAATCACGTGCTCCGAATGGCCCAACGAAATTCGGATCGGCCAAATAGTCCGAGCTCGATGGTGGTAAAGGACGCGCAAGCGCACAGCCAAACGAGTTTCACCGGTGGCGGGTTTCGAATGTCTGTGCCACAATCTCAACAAATTCCGATAAAATAATCAAGTTTTTCCGCCGGAAAATAGTGAATTTTGATGTAATCAATTGTGCTCTTTATCTGTAAAATAAAATCTCGACAAATTAACAAAAGACTTGCAGTTTATTCGTGTTAAAAGTTGGTGTAAACAAAAGTTTATAGGTTAGAATCGAGCTTGGTGTGAAAATGTTCAAGATTTTAGAAGTTTGCGTCGATAGTCTGGAATCGGCAGTTGCCGCACTTAACGGCGGCGCCGATAGGCTCGAGTTGTGCGGTTCGCTCATAGAGGGCGGCCTGACACCAACTCCCGGTCTTTTGATTCAAATTCAAAAAATGAATCCGAGACGCGTACCAATTTATTGTATGGTACGGTGCAAGCCTGGGAATTTTATTTATACCCTTGAAGAAATCGAAATAATGAAGGAGGATGTTAAAATTTTACGTCGCAGTGGAGCTGATGGGTTTGTGTTTGGAGCCCTAAAAGATAATGGAGATGTTGATATGAAGCTGTGCAGGGAACTCATCAAAGCTTGCCACCCTTTGCCGCTAACATTTCATAGGGCATTTGATTCAGTTCGTAGGCCTACAATTGAAGTTGAAGTGGTTATTGATTTGGGTTTCGAGAGGATTCTAACCAGTGGCAAACAGGCAAATGCTCAACTAGGTGTCAAGCTTATTAAAAAATTAATTGATCAAGCGGGTAATCGCATAATTATTATGCCTGGTGGCGGCGTTGATAAGAATAACATCAAGTATATAATGGAAAACACTGATGCCAACGAAATACATGGTTCTTTTAAGAAAATCAAAGAGGAACCCAAGGAGGAGAGTAAGGAAGGTGAAGAAGAAGCCCAACTCAATTTAAGACAAGTAGATGTTCCCATTTACATTACTGATGAAGATTTAGTGGCTGAAGCTGTTAATATTTTGAAGTCTATTTAAATTTTAGCAAAATAACTTAAGGGATTAGATTAGTATACAGAATCATCTATTTACTAACTCAAATATAGGTACCTATATGAATAAAAAAACAATAACTTGATAAGTATGTGTCCAAATTTGAAAAAAAAAATCATGCTATTTATCTATATAAAGTTGTGTACAAAAACAAATTGTAGTACTCACTAAGTACCAAAGTACCTAACTGTTATACTTATGTAGACCTGAGTACCTAACTCAAATACCAACTAAGAAAATATATAAACATGTTCACCTATTTTAGACCTTATTCTAGAACTAATTATAAACACTTATATTAAGTCTGTTAATGTGTGTATTTTGCTGCTGTAATGAAATAAAAAGTCTCTTTAATGTGTTACAAAACAAAAAGTTCGCATTCATATTATCTATTCACAATCCGATGTCCAAAGGTAAAGGTAAAATTTATCCCCTTCCAGTGCTTTTTGCAATGAAATATTTGATAGGGAAAGGTGATAAATTTACCTTTACCTTTGGATTACAAATTGTTAATAGGATATACAAGTGGTGTAATAACAAAAGCTAATTTTCATTTCATATTTCAGGCCTCATCTCCTTGCATTTTTCTAAAATAGTCCTAACAATATTTTCACAATCTAAATTATTATTATTCATTAGCTCAATATCCCAGCAATTAAAATCATCTAAGTCACATTCAGAAGCCACATCATCAACCCCTTTTGTAAATTTCCAACCCCTAGCCTCCCTTACACTTAAATCAGCCAAAATCCTAATAGTTCTAATATTATTATAATTTTCTTTGAACCATTTTATATCACTTTTACGTCTCACATCACTCACTATCCATATTCGTTTGTTGGGGGCCCCTTCACAAGCTGCCCTACAAAAGTAACCAGGATCAGATTGTCTGATTTCGTCGCTCCAATTTATCATGTCGAGTCTGTATTGTTCTTTGTAGGGTCCGTCGCTCATCAAGTCTGCTAAATCTAGCTGGTGGTTTTCGGCGTAGGTTCGCTTCAAAGGGCCCGAGATTCTTATTATGCAGCAATTGGCATCTCCTAGGGTGGCTTTGAGTTTTTCGCAGATGAAGTCTTTGCCACTTTTACGTTTTCCAGTGAATAACAAGATGAGATTTGTCGGTTTTGTCATAATTTTTTATTTTACAATTTTTTCTACCGTTCTTATAAAAACTCAAAAATTTTTGGGGTTTTCAGTTGAGTTCTACATTTGTTTGTATAATGCATGTAAAATCATATAAATTAAATTAATTTTCAATTATTGTTTTTGTTTTGTTGTTAAAATTTGATGGTTAAAAATGTTTAAATGTTTGTATAAATATAAATAATAAATAAAATAAAAAATACCCAAAAATACATTCTCAACCAATTCTCAACAGTCTAGGAGTGCGTTCGAAATCACCCTGTGTGTCACACCGTGTGCACACCAGGTTGCGTTTAGAAATACCACTCTGAGTGTGAGAGTGACCCTAGAGTAACTCTAAAACGTTTATAAATTAACACGTGCGTACTCGGAGCGTTACGCTGGAATCGTTCAGAAATCGAGAGTTGACGTGCCCAGAGTGCGCCCAAATTACCCTACTCAGGGACTGGGTTAAAAAACGCCCCGAGGTTTTTACCGGGTTTGACGTTAACAATTAGCGCAACACCCCAATTACTTTCAGAAAAGGCGCACCCTGAGTGCACTCCAATTGATGACGTCAGAACAGTCTGACAAACGACTACTCTACCTTCACACTCCATTTCTAAACGCGCTCCAGCTATGAATTATTCAAGACTGGTGTGCACTCGGTGATTTCGAACGCGCTCTAGAGGTGGACCTATCGTCTATCGAATTAGCGATACGATAGCTGATTTCGGAATGGGATTTTAGTGCAGTGCTAGTGCGGTGTTCGTGTAGTCCAGTGTTATATCTCGTGATGAAGGTGTAATCGGCGGTGTAACCCCGAATACACCATCATAATGTACCGAGTAAACGGTGTTACACCATCCGGACACCAAATAGACCTATCTATTTTACCAGATAAAGAGGTAATAATACGAAAACTTCATTTGATAGAAAAAGACGCAAAACGCTTATTGCGCAAGACGAGGCCAAATGTACCAAATCATGTCAGACCTACGTATAGCAATCCGTTCTTATTATTTACACGGGATAAAAAGGGAAGGAGAGAGACCGCGTAACGTGCAACGTATTTGTCAATAAAAAATACACATCGATCCCTTGTCAAGTTACGTCAAGTTGAATATCAACCCTAATTTCATCCTTGTCAGACCACGGGTAATGAACAAGGACAAGGAGATGCTCAGCGTGCAAAAGGAACATTTTACACCTGTACTAGGCAGCCAATGAAAAGGCATTAGATGTATTCCTTTCAAGAGTTTGAAACACTTGAGCTACTCGCTCCGGTGTTTAGTCGCCCCCGATTTGCAGGGAACAGATGCGTGGTGCAACAAACACTTTTCGAAAGGAATAAGCGCGTGAAGCCCCGGAGCTGTTCCGGAGCTTCTCCTAGGTGTGAAAGGAATACAACTATTGCCTCGTGTTGCGCGCGCATACAGGTAAAAATAGATAGGTCTATTATTTTCAAACGCAAATAAAGTGTATTTTTACACCAAACTTACTCCTTCCAATTAACGAACGCGCCAGTGTCAATAGTGTAAAAAGTGTCGAGACTTTTCACCATTAGTTGTATTCCTTTCACACCTAGGCACCGATTACGTACATACAGATGCGAAAGAGCAGCGAATTCGCGGTTCAAAATTAATTTGATGGACATAAGCTGGCCGCACCAATGCCGCATCAATGTATTTTGAACATATTTATTATATAAATGCGGAAGCTCAATAATATAATATTATTTCTTTAATTGGTTCACAAACAGCAAAAAAATATTCTTTTTTACCCGCAAAAATATATAAACACACAGGCTGGAACATGCTCACGCATTCGGCCACGTTAATTGTCCTGACGCGGGCGATCTGTATCTATGCGGGGGGGAGTTGGCTCCGCGGCTTCGTCACAGAATATCGTCGACGGCAAGAATACGTACTTTCGCATCTGTATTAAGCCTAGTACTCATAACTGCGAAATTTGCATTTTTTTGACATTGCGTTGACAATTTGACCTTTGATACACGCATCAAACGTCAAATTCTCAACGCAATGTCAAAAAAATGCGAATTTCGCAGTTATGAGTACTAGGCTTTAGGTGATCTGTGACCTAGGAGGAGCTCCGGAACAGCTCCGGGGCTTCACGCGCTTATTCCTCTCGAAAAGTGTTTGTTGCACCACGCATCTGTTCCCTGCAAATCGGGGGCTACTAAACACTGGAGCGACTAGCTCGAGTGTTTCAAACTCTTAAAAGGAATACAACCTTAGACAAGGAAAGAGAGGGGACTCGTAACACAGCAGGTGAAAATGAACACAAAATGAAGCAGTTTGCCACCAAAAAATGTCTGCTTTTTTTCATAACATAACCTAGAAAGCATATTGTTTTTTGCCTGTTAAATGTAATCCCGTCGACTTTTTTTTCTCTGCGGGTTTTGCAGCCATACGCTAGCAATCCACCATGCTGAATATCACAAAAATGTTAGTCTGAAGTAAAATTCACATAGTGGCACCATGAAAAATTGTTGCCATTATTTGGTGGCAAACGGTCACAACCAGCTGCTAGTGCAGGTAAAGGATGTTACGCGTCCTCTCTCTTTCCTTGTCTAAGAATACAACTATTCCGAACTCACCTGATATATGTACAGTCGTGAGCACAAAAAGCTGTGATAAAAGCTATACGCATGTTGTTTTATTCACCGTTCTGTTGGATAGACCTATCTATTTTACCAGACAAAGAGGTAATAATACGAAAACTTCATTAAATAAAAAAAGACACAGAACGTTCATTGCGCAAGACGAGGCAAAATGTACCAAATTATGTTAGACTTACGTATAGAAATCCGTCCTTCTTATTTGCACGGGATAAAAAGGGAAGAAGAAAAACCGCGTGTTGTGCAATGTATTTGTCAATGAAAATGTCAAACAACTTTTGAATGACATTTGCCAAGTTGAATATCAACTTTAGATTTATTCTTGTCAGACCACGTGCAATGAACAAGGACAAAGAGATGTACAGCGTGCAAAACGATCACCTCACACCTGTATTGGCTAGCCAATAAAAAGAAATTGCCTCGTGTTGCGCGCGCATAACAGGTAAAAATAGATAGGTCTATTACTGTTGGCTTGTTGTTGTGCCATTAGTTGTATTCCTTTCAAAAGCTTGAAGCACTCGAGCTACTCGCTCCGGTGTTTAGTCGCCCCCGATTTGCAGGGAACAGATGTGTGGTGCAACAAACACTTTTCGAAAGGAATAAGCGCGTGAAGCCCCGGAGCTGTTCCGGAGCTCCTCCTAGGTGTGAAAGGAATACAACTAGTGAGTAGATGGATAAAACAACGGGTAGGAAAACCGCTCCGCTAACCCAAACTATAACTCTTTATACCTACTTGTCTTTTCCATTTTGTATAAAACAAAATTAAAAACTTTTCAATCTATTCAACTTCAATCCAATCTCTACTTGAAGGTTTAAAGTCAGGCCTATAGTTTATTACAGCAACGCGAGATGTCAGTACTGTCGCCCCCCTAGTGTGCCCTAACTTGATAGTCAAAAAAAAAATTGAAATCTGCATTTGATTAAATTGTGCGATGGAAAGTTTTTTCTTTTTTTTGCGGAAATTCGAAGTATTATTCTGTTTTACATAAACAGGGTTGTAGTTTGGACTAACACAAATAATTTTGAACGTTCATCCGTCGGATTTTTTTTTAAACAGTGTAGCTACGGCCGTATTTCCAACTATTCTTGCAGTAGCGAGAAAACTACAAGTTCAAAAAATTTGAAAAAAATATATGTCGCGTAGAATTGCAATAGTAGTTCGTAATAAAAATAACGGGAAACTTCATCTATTCGTTTTGAAATAAATGGTAAGAAACTACTTTTTTTCCAGTTTTTGTGATATATCTCAAAAATGGCGAGTCAAATTTGCTTAAAAAAATTATGGATTAAAGTATATCAATAACCATAAAACATATATTTTTTTTGGAATTTTTGAACACAAGGTTCAGAAAATGGGGGTTGACTTTAAACCTGAAATGATACCATAAAAAGCCGTGTATATATTCAAATTTTATTTTGCTCCATTTTTTCAAAATACTAATACAAAAACGGTTTATTATTATTTTCGACTTCTTTCCAAATTAAATACATAATCAGGCCTATGATGCATCCTCTCCTGTTATTTTAACAGCTATGTTATAGCTCAACATCTATACTTCTCTCTATTTTGACGTATAGAGGGGCTGTGATAGAGTCCGTCCATAAACTACAGTAGCGCCCTCTTTCGACAGCAATGTAAGTTCTTGTATTATGGCAAGTGCTTGATTCCATTTACACAAATGTATTTTTTAGGGTTGACAAACTATCGAAAAAAAAACTATCGATAGTGATATCGATAGAATGTCCTACTTATCGATAGTAACTATCGATTGTACTATCGATAGTTTGCTCTGACCAAAGCTACCAAATTTTCAATTAATTACGATAAACATTAACCTCCAACCTCCATCAAGTCCATCAAAGTCACTCGTCACTCCTCCTAACCGAAAAATTGGCAGCATAGCATGTCTATCTCCAAAAATAATTACAGATTTTCCAAAACAACTACAGAATTCTTTATACTTCCCTCAATTTACAGATGTTTTCATGTACCTTTGGCTACATTGGAACTATCGATATTGGTACAGGTCTATCGATACTATCGAAAATTAAAAAAATATCGATAGTATCGATATTCCTATCGATAGTTTGTTTTCCCTGGTATTTTTTTTTTATTAAAAACGATTTCAAAGCGAAATATATTTTTCATTATAAAGGTATGGTTGTTTACACGGAACAATTGTATTTAATTTCACTTTTTTTCTTGTAATTATTATTTGCCAAACACTTTTTATTATCATTTATTCAGGCTATTGTGCATACCCACTACTTGTCATGGCTTCACCCAGGAACAGTTTCACAAATTATTGTGTTGTTAACTGTGGCAATAATTATGCCAACACAAGTGGAAATGTTCACTTCTACAGTTTTCCTAGTCGGCCCCATGATCAGGAAAGACACAGGAACTATACACTGAGTTTTCGTATTGATTTGTGGTCTTTTTTTTTCATAAAATAGATTTTGACATTGTCAACTTTGAAACATAAACAATACCTCTTGGCCCTGATTGGTCGCAAAATGAGGTGTCCCTGCAGGTTGACATCATGTTGATTTCCATTTGCCAGTCAGTGCGCAGTGAGTGTATCCGCATCTTTTTCTAAAAGCATGTAACATGTAAGGATAAGGATACATTTTTTTT